AACGTAAAAAAACACTTTATTTCAAAAAATTGTATACACACTCCTATTACCCCGTCTCGGGTGTCAGCGCCGCAGGCCTAGCTATATGTGCGCCAGGCGCGTCGCAGCGTAACAGTGTTTCGTGAGATATCGCGAAGCCTGTTACGCGAGACGTGGTCTGGCGTACATATAGCTAGTTAAATTTTCATCACGTGTTTATTAAACAGTTAGGAAACTCCCTCCAGCCAGCGGTGGCATAAGACCACGTTACAGCTCAACCACTCTCAGGTAATCCTCGTGGCCGAGTGGTCAAAGGCGAGGGTATACCAACCCAAGGGTCCCGGGTACAACTCCCGGAAGGTACGGTAAATTTCTATGGTTACAGCCTGTAAAATCCGTTAGTTGGTTGAGGAGTTGATTACATAAGGGTTAGAGCGAAACAAATTTCTTTTAGAAAGCTGTCAATTTTTTAATGACATGTGTTATGAAATTTCATTACTCAATTGTAATGAAAATTTAATAACATTGTAATGAAATTGCAATGAAAATAGCTTCATATAAATGTTATTACTAGCTATATGTACGCCAGACCACGTCTCGCGTAACAGGCTTCGCGATATCTCACGAAACACTGTAACGCTTCGACGCACCTGGCGCACATATAGCTAGGCCTGCGGCGCTGACACCCGAGACGGGTTAATAGGAGTGTATATACAATTTTTCGAAATAAAGTGTTTTTTTCCGATTTAATAGACCATTTGGTCATTTTCACCTCATTTTTGTCAAGAAATGCCCTCTAGCACCCAAACGGTACAAGATAGAGCAAAACGGACGAAATTTTCGCCCTAAGGGCTCTACTTTGACGAGTTACCCCTAAGGAACCCTTAAAAAAATAGTTGATAAAAATACATTTTGGGACCTGTAGTTTTTGATTTTTTTAAAAGTCAATTTTTGAGCTACAATGCTCATCTTCGAACTCGATCTGTCTTTTTATGATACAAAACGACCCTGAAATTCCCAGATCGATATCTCAATTCCTTCTCGAGTTATCGTGCGGACAGACAGACAAACAGACAGACAGACAGACAGACAAACAGAATGAAACTTTTCCGGTCAGTGGAGTAATGGGCTTCGCTAATCGCTTAGCCAAAAATGTAATGGTTTTTTTTAACATTGAGCTCTTAATGGGACTGCTGCCAGAATCATGAAAGAGCCTGAGCTCTACCGAAAAATTGTTCAAACATGGACTTTCCATCTGGCTGGAGGTATGTATACTTCATGTTATTCCATGAAAAATTTTAATTTACCAGAGGTACATATCTGGTCATTCACTTCAGTACCTCACACTGATGTGTTTAACTGGCTATGCACATTCAAGTGCTCAGAACCATGTTGCAGTAAGAAGTGTTCAACACCTGGGTTAGCCATGCCCTTTTGGACACTTTTAAGTGTCAAAGTATGCAACATAGTGTTGAGCACTTTGCACTTGCATGTGCACGTCAGTGGACACTTTATTTATCAGTGCAACTCCCATGCACATAATTTTGAACATGCATTTATTTGAAGGTCTAGTCAAGTACTCAAATTTCCTAACGTCGTAGATGTATTCCTTTTGAAGTCTTTGAGATGGTGCATTAGTTCTGGAGCTTCCTTATTCTTTGTAAAAGTCTTGCACTTACAAATTCAAATTTTACTTTTCCAGGATCTATGTCTGTTCCTGAATTCAGTCAGGAAGTTGAAGATAGAATGAATATCGCGAATGCGCAATCTACTTATTTGGATGTCATCTCTGAACTTACAAACAGTCTTTGGAGTGACACCACCAATGCCCGTTTCATCCGCTGACTTTTTAAAAATTTTCTTAACTTCATTTTAGCTCTTTGTGACTTAGTTTGTTTCA